CAGTTTGGGGCAGACAAAGAGCAGGCTTAGTCCCAGGGCCGGAGAAGCTCTGAGCCCTCTGCCCATGAGGCAAGCCTGAGGTTGGTCCCCTGGTGGTGGGGCTGACTGGGAGAAACTCCCAGACAACGTCTACACATGCGCTACTGCGTAACTACTGTATGGTTAATTTACTACCTACATTTACACAATCTTCAGGTTATACCTTTTCTTTTATATACATGTGTAATGAATTCCAGTGGCCCTGAAAGAAAGGGATCCAATTGTGGCTAGAGTCTGGCATAAGACTAATAATGTTACCAGATCATAATTTACCAAGTTTATGATGTCACATAATGTAACTTAGAGTTCTGAACTGAAACACTACTGCTATTCCATTATTGAGCTCTCCTGAGGAAATACGAGAGAAATTCTTGATTGTGTTGTAACTTTGGGCATCTATAAAAATTAATCAGGGCCATGCTGAGCTTACCATTTGTAACTTTAAAAATTAGCATAATTTAGTTAGAGATTAAATGCTATTAACTAAAACAAACAAACCCAAAAAAGTCAGTTTAGGAAAAAAAACAGCCTTGATTGTGAAAAGATGTTTTTTTTTTGCTGTGAAAGCAGGAGTTGCTTTACTTTTCCTTGCCACCTCAATGTATTATTAAATGTAACTACCTCAGGACAAGAAAAAGAATGAAAAGATGTGAAACTACATGACTATAAAATAGTTCACATACAAATAACTTTGCAAGAAGTGTATTTATTATGGAAAACAAGTGGAGAGGCAACAATTCGGGACATTACAGACAGTGCTGAAGAAATACAATATATAGATATTTCACTGATGGTTGGGAAGATAAATCAAGTTAAATTGCCCAAAAAAGCAAACCTAAAGTATGTTGCTGCAAATCTAGAAAACTAAATGTGTAGTCTCTTGGGAATAATACCATCATTTGTTTTCATTTTCTTGACTTCTCTTCATTTATGTTAGAGATTAGCTCTCCAAATAATGATAACAACAATACAAAATTTGTTCCCAAAGGAGTGAGGGGCTGAAAGATATATTTTCTAAAGTAAACCCAGGTGAAGAAATCAAAATAAGCAACAATATATTTAAAAAGTGAGTAGCAAGAACATGACTGTAATTCTCCCTTATACAAAGAAACTCCCATCCAAGCAAGTCTGGCTTTAACTAGCAAGCTAAAGAAAAAATGAATGGATGGATAAATATGTATATAAACATACATTACTATTATTACTATGATTAATTTTACTATTTTCTATTTAGGAAAATAAATTAAATACATTATTTAGGAAATTAAAATTCACCAAGAATGGTAAACTATTTAAGCCATTGCAATCAGTAGTTCTTTGTTTTTGTGTGCTCAATACAACTGTAAAATTAAGCAGGAGAGGCAATATTGGGAAGTCTGGATATTTGCATGCTGATAAGCAAATGCTTGCACTCAAGGGCAGATCCAGAGCAGCTGCAGTGGCCTGGTTGTATCCCACTTTTCAAGTGGACCACATGGCAGGAGCTTCTGGCAACTTGTTTAAATTCCCCAAAGTAGGTGAGAACTTCCCTTCCCTCCCTGCTCACAAGCCCCACTCCACTTCCCACTTCCTTCTGCCTGTGACCACTGCTTTCCCCTGTCCCAGGGCAGGGGCAGCAGCTTCAGAGCTCTGTCTGCTCCAGCAGGGCTGTGTGGGGGCTGAGTTAAGCTGAGAACAGTGGCAGCTGTGATGGGCAGGTTATTCTTTCCCCCTGCACCGGCTCCCAGAAGCAGGCATGGTGGAAGAACAGATCCTCACCCATCACCACTGCCACTGGTAATGTTCCCAGTTGAGCCCAGCCCTTTTGCAACCTGGCTGGAGTGGGAAGGAGCAGCTTTACCTGTGGCAGGTTGGGGTGTTATTTCTGTGTTGTGTCAGGGTTGATGACAGTCTTATGTAGAGTTAGATTATGGATTGTATGGGTGGTTTGGATTGGGATGATCCGCCCTCGGGCAGGGGGTTGGACTAGATGACCTCCAGAAGTCCCTTCTAACCTCACTTTTCTATGACACAAGGAGTCACCTGGCTTTGGGGACTTAAAAAAAGACCTCAGAGGCTCCTGCCACGTGGTCTGCTCTCACTGGTGGGGGGCGAGGGGGTGAGAAGTGACTGCAAGTTGGAGGTGCAGTCATCTCTGTACTGCAGTTTGCTGCTCTCACACCCCACTTTGCCAAATGCTGGATCCAGCCCTGATTGCACTGGACCTTTAATTCATGACTGCCCTAAATTTATTGTTCATGCTAATGAGATGCTAGAGAATGCCAGATCCTATAGCACCCGTATCTATAGTGGGTATAATTCCACAATGAAACATATAGATCAGTATTCAAATCAAATAATTTTGCTGGGTTACTACTACTACTTGATGGGCTATAACAATGAAATCTTAGGTGAACTCAGAACCAATAAGTCACCCATCAGTAATTCTCTTCTTGATTTGAGTCGTAAAAGGTGTGGTCATATGTACGTAAGTACACAAAACCAAAAGCCTCTTCCTAGGTTGATGGGTCCAGCCCCTTGCTTTTCAGGCTAATCGTACCAGGTAATATTGTTTATAAATTTATTAAGATCCATCTTGAAGCCAGATGAGTTTCTTGTCCTTACAGCTTTTATTGGAAAGATATGCCAGACCCTCATTGCTCTGGTGGTTAGAAATCCTCTTGCTTCTCGCTTAAATCTATACCTGGCTAGTTCATAACCATTTGTTCTTATACCAAGTATTGTCTTTTAGCTTAAATAGATCTTCTCTCTCTGTGTCTCTGGTACTTACCTCTTTTTATTTGTAGAGGGTTAATCACTTGCCCCTTCAGGCTCTGTTCTACTAGCCAAGCTCTCTTCGTCTACTGGAGCAAATAAGCTCTTCATTGCCAGATCATCCTATCAGCCAGTTCAAATTTGTCTTTCTTGAAAATGTGTGATGGGAATTTTACCCAGTATTCCAAATGGCGTCTTTACTAACACCTTGCACAATGACATCAATACTTATCTATATCTAATGGAAATATTGTACCTCAGGCACCCTTGAATTACATATACCAGTTGCTAGATTGGGTAGTTAGATTTGAAATCAGGCAGTTACATGGAGTAATTACGGCACATTATTGCAATGATTCAGCCCATGTGGCAGGGAAAAAATGAAGAAACATGCCTCTTTTGATCAGAGTCAAGTTGGAAAAATTAGCAGAAAAAAAGAAAAATTAGCAAAAGAAAAAATTAAAATAGTATTACACAAATCTTGAGGCTCCTCAGTCTTGTATATTAGTTATGTTTTATTAAAGTAATGTCAATCTAAGCAACAATGATTAAATGAATTAAAATGTCATGAACATTATATAGTCTGTATTTTCTAAATCTATAGGAAGATTCTGTACAAGCAAGAATCTCACAATCCAGATGAGACTGTACTGTAATATGTTAATAAAAGGATTCTTTGGCATATTAGGCATGAACACTAGAAACTATCTATTTCAAAGTTTATCACAATGTTCCTTTCTGGTTGTTTTGCATTTTGCATTTATAGACAAGAGCATACACCAGTGATTCTCAGTCAGGGTGCTGTAGCACCCCAAGGTGCCTTGAAATCCTTTCAAGGGTGCTAGAGGATGCTACACAATGTTAACCTTGTTAGATGTGCAAATGTGATTCACAAAATAAACTGAGTGATATCAAATAAAAATCCATAGTGTTAGAAACATTCTGACCTGTTGGGATCTTTCTGAGTTCTTTGCAACAGAAAAATGTTTTTTCCATAGAAAACAGAACAGAAAAAACAACAGAACAACATAGAAAAAACCCCAGAAAAACTGCTGTTCTTTGCAACAGAAAAACTGCTTTTTTCTAGTCAAAAAGGAGTAAAAGCTAAGAGCCACCATTTTCCGAAGGGACCCTTGAATCTAGCAAGGGGTATCTTGAGCCTACAAAGTTTGAAAACTGCTGGCATAGCTATAACCCCACATAGCTTGAAGGGCAAGTGCTCCCAGCACGGGGGAAATGTCCATATCACAATATGGCCTTTAATTACAGATGTAAATAAATATAAGGTTAGTAGTAGCATATCTAACCCATCTGTTCACAAGAGAGGTTAACATTTGAAATTAGATGAGAAAACATGTTCCTTTGTTCATCTGTTACTCTGATGAACAAATATGACATTTCTTTATCAGTCGAGTTTGTCTATTAGTTACATTACTTTGGGTGTATCTACAGACACAATTAATGTGAAGCAATAAACTCTGGAGCAGTTTGAGCCAGAGTAAACTATGCCCAGGAGCAGTGTCTACACATACAACCAGGACAGCATCAATTTGAGTGGTGGGAGAGCAGGCCTGGGCTGGCAGGGAGCATGGTGGTCAGCCCTGCTGGCTGGAGCATGAAGGTACTAAAGTGCAAAGCCATGTGGCGAGGCAGCAGGCAGGAATCTGGTCCCTGGCTGGCTGGCTGGACTGGCTTGGTGCAATTTATGCCTGTGGTTAGCATCTACATTTGTATTTAACTGCACCAATTACTCTGGAGTAATATAGTACTGTCTTATATATATAACTTAGTTAAATTTCATATTGTGCTACAGAAAAAATGTGATTAAAAAACATTTTTGAGAACAATTCTGATGTTGGCTTACAGCAAGTTGTTCTTGCAGGACAATATAATGAGAACAGTGGGTATGGAGGTTTGAACAGACAAATCTCAAAGTCATTTTATGTTTTTTGAACTTTTGTCTGTGGGAAAGAGCTATATTCCTAGTAGAAGAATAGATGTTTTTATTTGAGTGCCTAAAATGAGGTCAGGCTAGGTGTTTGAGCACACAGATGAAATAAATAGTATAAGCAGCGCAGCATTATGTTGGATGAGATTGTATCATAATGTATAATCTTCAAAAGATACTGTCAAGGCAAAAATCCTATTTTACAAGTGTGGCTATTAATATGCTAAATTCTGTTCTAATATGACTTTTTTTTTTTTAGATACAACATTGTAAATCTAGAACTACATCAATTTTAAAAGTGTTTCACCAGACGAAGAATGCCAGAACAGAGAAAAAACTGACCTCCGGCGCTTATTTGTACAAAAGTACCACAGCAATGAAAATACTTGTAATTTACAGTTCTTAATTTTTGCTTTTCATTCCACTTCCCCAAGAGAATGAGATTGATTCTAATTCTTATCATCACCAACTAGCACAGTGGGGTGGTATTAAGTGTTTCCAAGAAAGCCGAAAAATGTTTAAATTAAAAGTATTCTTAAAAAAAATCAAGAAATCATTTTATTTATATTGGAAAGGTGAGGGCAACATAGGATATAGATATGCACATACATTTTAAACATAAGGCAACACAAGTGCAAATCACTGGAAGTAGGGTAGTCTCTCTCTCAGTAAATGAGGCCTCATTATTTCCATGCATTTCCCTTTAGTTTCAGTGGGAAACCTCACAACCTATAAGAACCTATAAGACGTGTGCACTTCTAGTGGTTGGTACTGTACAGTCACACAATATTTACAAGTGAACTTCAGCTCTCTAGGCAAGATACTTCACATGTAACTCTGAGCAACACACAGTTAAATGCACATCAGGGTTTTTGGATGACATCAGGATGCCTATCAAAGCAAAGCTAGAGCAGAATGGGTTGTTATAAAGCCCCAGGGTACATATATAGTTACATAGATCATTTTTATACAGTTGGTCTATCTGTGATAAATCACAAAGTAAGGATCATCGCCTGTTGTCCTGGACTCCAGCTCTGTTCTGAAAGTATTAAATCCTCACTTTCTTGAAGATCTGAAGTGATGGTGTTCAATACCTGTAGGAATTTTCAGCAAGATCCTCCTCTTATGGGAATAAATGAGGATTTTGCTATTCAATGGCAGCAAGATTAAATCTTCCACTTGTTGCATGCTGCTCAGTTGCATACGATTTATTAGATACATTCCCAAAACCAAACTTAAGGAAAGTTAAAAGAACAAATAAGGATAAAATATATATACCCCAAAGAAATAAAAACCCAGAATAGCAAGTGATTAACACATTGGTTAAAAACTTAGCTCACTGAAGTTCCACATATATTAAAAAGTTCAGGTTTCATTTTAAATGTCTATTCAAATTTCTTTGGGGCTATTATTTACACTTTAATGTTTTATTTTTATTGTTTAAGAAACGTGGCACAGACCTAAAGAAAACTTACCATTACTTGGAGAAAATTCCAAACTACTAGTAGGAAAAAAAAGGAAACCTACAAAGCATCCGGTCATAATAAAAAGTAATCCAATTAGATTTGGTATATTTTAACTCACAATGTTTGTAAAGAATGCATAAAGCCAGCATAAAATGGAAATTTGGAGTTCTGCTGATATATGCTATCTGATTTATGTGATTTTCGTTATCACAAGGTCTTTTTTTGTCTTCGACATGCTTGTATCTCCTGTTGATAGTGTTGGAAGTTTATATATAAATTCCTCAAATATGTATTAGTTTAAAATAAATTCTGTCAGAATTGTGTCATTCTGTTTAAATTTTCCAAATGTTAGAAACTAAAAGCTGAAAGTTAATTGGCTTAAAATATTTATTAATTAAAAAAAGTTAGAATATTTGTGTATACAAATAGGATGAGAAAAAATATCATGCAAACTTGCATACAATAAAAATAACTCAAATATTAATATGGTTTTACAAAATAATTTTTATAGTAACTTTTATGAGAAATGTTGCTCTTATCTCTGTGTCTGAAAGCACCAGTCACAGTAATTAGAAAGCCATTTTTTAAATTTAGAAGTTTTTCTGTGGAACATATATCAATAATTTCACACTTTTGCACTATGATCAACAATTAATACTGTGTTACTTTTACTCAGAAAACTAGACATAGACATATGAACATAGAGTAATGAATTCCTTAATACCACTGTATTTCTAAACAATGTATGTTAATGCATAAAGTTGCCAAAAATTTGCTTTAGATAATTCCCTTAAATGATGACAATATCTTGAGATTGTTATGGATGACATCTGTTTCTGCTTAATTACAAATCTTCATTGGATTTATAATTTGTGTATATTACAAGTGATTTGCATAATTAAAACAATTAAGGGATTGACATATCATGGCAATTAGAAATGCATCAAACTCTGAATGTTATACAAAAGAGAGCTTCAATATGAAACATTAATTCTTTGAGAACTAAATATCCTACAGATTTCTGCAGAGCAACCTTAATACATTTAACTTGTGTTCACTGAACTTCAATATGAAAATGTTTTTCTCCAGGATATCTGGTTCTTCTTTACGTTGTTGGACCTTTAACCAAAAAAAGACAAAAAATGCTTCTTCCTTTTATTTTCTCCACCAGTCACAGTATTGACTTGTGTGCTTATTGCAGATTTCCAGAATTTTTATCTCATTTTCCGGAGCCTTATTCTGTTTTCTTTGTCTCTCTTTTTAAGAATAAGTATGAACTGGTTGAAAAAATGCTCTTGGTCTTTCTTTTTCTGAACAAGTCGAAACCGCTGATCTCTGCCATGTTTCTCTGCAAATTCTTTAAATGTTGTTCTGCAGACAAGAAACAATCATGAGTAAAGCAGTGCTTAAAAGACTTGTCCCTACAGATTCAGATTCTTTGACCGTGGGTTTACTTGTTACGTATCATATTGCTGTCAGACTTACTGAGATTGTTCTCTACTTGACAAAGAGAGTCAATCTCTCCATTCTGTTGCCTCTTCCAAAATCAAAATCATCTTTGCTCCATAATCTACTTGACTTACTTGCATTAATCAGTATTCCCATTTTCATACGCTGTAAATGTATTGCTTTTCAGAAACTTGCTTAGCAATTAGTTTAGAGTTAATTATCTTAAATCATTATTACAGTATGGCTAAAATGAATTTTCACTGCCCTACCTAGTTGCTTAATTCTAACCTTCTTAGAGGTATATCAGAATTTCTATTATTACCATATCTTGTAATGGAAAACTCTATTATGTCTAAATTATAGCAAATGCATTTGACTGTCCAAGTATGAATACCTAAAGGAACACTTTAGCTTTATCTTCTTTAACAGAAGCATAAAAAATGGAGGAGAAAGGGACTTCATGTATCCCAAACCCCTTTGGAAAGTAGAATCATCATGTAGGGAAATGTGGTACTGATCTATAACATGAACTGAAAAATACTGGAGATGTTATGTGCTGCTATGTGTTTATTTAAATGCTGGGGGCTGGGTACTTTGTATTCTGCTGTGCTTACTTGGGTGAATTATTTACTTCGCATTCACTATGGGTAGGGGTCTACCAAACTTGAGGAGGTGGCTGGCTGATTTTGTGGGCAGACCCCAGGGCCAGCCACCATTTTTGTGGGCTGAGTGCAGAGTGGGCACCCCCATTCCTCTGATTGGCTGAAAGGCCCCACAGACCTGCCCTTCCCCATAGATTGCCTGAAATTGCAGCTTCATTGCCCTGATTAAGCCTGGGAAAGCTGTTAATCCAAATGTTATTAAGCATGTATTAATGGCTTCCGTGGGTGAAATCAGGGTAATTCAACCACCGTTTCAGGCCATCCCCTAGAAGGGATACTGCACAAGCAGCTGCACTGGGGTCACAAGCTGGCTGGGGCAGGCAGCTGGGAGGCTATACTGGGGTCTGCAGAGCCCTGGCCCAGATAATTGCTGGTGGTGGGTACAAGCACACAACAAGTTGGCCAGGGCTTCACAACCTCTGGTGCAGCCTCCTGGCTGCCTGCCACAGCCAGCCCGGGACCCCAGTGCAGCCGCTTGTGAAGCAACCTTGCTTCTTGCTGCAAGCAACATACCCTGGCCTCCCTCCCCCTACCTCTGGCCTCTGCCACCCTCCACCAACCACTCCAACTCTGCCCTCTTCTTCCCCCTCCCTCCCCTCTTCTCTCTGCCCACCCCCTTCCTGTCCCCATCTGCCATTCTCCAAGACTGTAGGGCTTCCTGCCCTTTTCTCTGCTTGCTGGTAAGTATTTTTTTTCTTTACGGTGAGCCCATCAAAATCGCAGAGACCACCATTTTTCACAAAGCCCACCTGATTTTGAATTTTCCACAAAAATTGTACAATCATGAATTTGGTAGGTCCCTAACTATGTGCACATACAGATATTCAGGGAGGCTAGGGGGAGATAGATTGAGATAGAACAAGAATAAATAAGCCACTGCCCTCTTACTTTCCATAAAACTGTTTTTTTTTTTTTTTTGCTACAGACATTAAAAGTAAAACATCAGTGAGTTAAAAGACTGATCATGATCTAATTTTTAAAAAGTTTCTTTAATTTAAAATGTGTGAAAACCCATTTCTTTTGAAGAAGCTTCATACCTCGGTGATAATTTGGACTCCTCTAGAAGTTTTTTAAATTCTTCTTTGGCTAGCAATAATTTATTTTTCCTTTCTTTGTACTCTTCTTTCATCCTTGTCTTGACAAACTGCTCAAATATCTTTTCAGGAAAAAGAAGACAAAATACAACATATTTATTAATAGTTCCTTTGCCATACACATAGTTGATTAAAGGTTTGCAGAATTCCAGAACTGCACTCCACTTGACACTTGCTGACCCACATACCTAGACAATCTACTCCTAAGGTCTGATAATGTGTTTCACAGGAAAAATATCTATTTTGGGGCATTTATGTCTGCATTCAAATACAGAGTGCAGCCTTCCTGTCAGGGGTACAGGTAACCAGTCCTGTGCACAGCTCAACATTCATAAGATTCGTAAGATTATACATTTCCATCTCATATCTGTCAAACAGATTGCATTTATTAGATTTGAAGTCTGCACCTTTCCTGACCTATCTTAACTCCTGACTGTGGGCCAGAAAAGTGTCCATGATGCTAAGCAGCAATTTCATGTCCATTACACAAAGAAAAATTGAATCATGTTTCCACTGAGCTTGCACGTGGGCTTCCACATGATGCACACAAGCAGACAAAGCTATCGATGCCAGTAGAAGAGCTGTATGCCAGCTATGTAAATATATTTAGCCACAAAAAGATGCAGATACACCCCAGTAGGATTTCTTTGTTGCCTAACTCCCTTTAAAATCTATGCACGTTACATCTGTAGGCAGTTTTGAAAATTCCCCTCGGTACCAATCATCATCTATAATCACCTTAAAACACCTTTAAAAATCTGGCCCTTTTTTTAGTTTGCATTATAAAGAAACACAGAAAAAAAATCAAGTATTTTGCCTTGAAATATCTATAACTGTTTAACACTAAAATACCTATTTGTAGGAGCACTGTGTCTGTTCCTTGTTTGTACTGGAAAAGGTAAACTAGCTAAAGTAGGTCTCTGATGACTTTCCATTCATTTACATGTGCAAACATATTTACAGGAAAGAGAAAGCAAAAAATCAATTTGGCAGGTAATTCCAATTGTTATCTTGTGCCTACATAAAGGAAGCAATATTTCTGCAAACATACAAATTTAAAAGTGGAAAAAGAGAGAGTTAACATGTAGCTCAAGCCCAAATCATATATTAATTGATTCTATGTGCTCTTAGAAGGTGAGTAAGTAACTGCATGTAGGGCAGAAATGAGGCATGCAAAACTAAGTAATATTGTCACTGCCAATTCTATCACCATGCTATCAATATTAGGAAAGATACTATGATCAGTTTTGATTACTGCAAAAAGTGCTCAGCTTTCAATCATGCCGCTGTATTGTTCTGACTGTAAGTCAACATTTCTTTTCCCACAGAAGAAAACATCAAAATCGCCCTCAGGTTTTACATGTGGAGTCGGAATATTGTGAGCCTTGGGCAACTTTTTCTTTGGTACCTAGGATACTTTTTAATTTCAGTGGCTAGGGACAGAAATCACATATTAACTGGTATAAGTGATCAGAAACTGGTTCAAATCTGCAACACAGTGCACATCAACAATTTTCAAAATGGCCAAAACTGGTTTAAGATAAACCAGGATAAATGTAGCATCAAACTTAACTGAGTTAGGTTAAATCAGTTCATTGAACTTCTGTTCAGGTCTCCTCCAGATTCAAGTTAACTCACAGTCTCCCAACACCCCAGGATGCTTTGCACCTTCCCCACAAACCCCCTACCCCACTCCATTGCAGGGTGGGTGAGCTAGCCTTGGCCCAAACTGTCTGTTTCTCCTGAGCAGGGAGGACTTCTCTAGCACCCCCAGCTTCTACAGGCATGTGGCTCCATTTCTGGAATCAAAACTGAATGTCTGTTCACTTGCTTATTGGTTCAATCTACACATCTTAAATTAACCCGCAAAGATTGAAATGATTCACCATCATGCTTTTTGACTGTCTGTACTTAGCCAGTATGTTTATGGATTTAATTCTTTGGAACTTTCCCTTGATTATTCAATTCTGCTGAGGAATTTTTCCCTTTTTTGGGGAGGGTGGGGGAAGGGAAATGGGGGACAGGGAAAAAGCAGTTTATCTGTATTTATCTACCTATATTCAGGGGAAAAGCTGTGTCTCCTAAAACTGAACATGGAAGTGTGGGGTTGATTAATAGAACAATACAGCAAAATTTTCTAGAAATACTAAAACATCAAAAATAGCTTCTCGAAAACCATTAATTTCCCCTGCTAAGGCATAAGGTACATTATAGCTTCTGCTATAACACATAATTATTCTTGTCTGAATTTCATCTGTAAAAAGAAAATGAAAGACAAGAATAAAATATTAAATTCTTCTTTGTCATCTGAGAATTCCAAACAATAATAGAATTCTTAAACAATTTATTAATGTTACGAGAAGTGATTCTCCAAAATGACAGTACTTGTTGACTATAATAAATTCATCTAATATATTTTCTACTACAATGCTTTTCACAGTTTCTTGGCATAAGTTTCACTCTATTTTCAATCTAAGTACTATAACATCTTTCCTCTAACTGGTAATAACCCCTTGGGAAATATTGATAAATAAACCTACCTAACTGCTATTCTTCAGTAAAAGATACTTCCATTCCTCAGGCAGCCTCAGATAAATTACCCAGAGGTACAACGCAGGGCTCACATCATGATCCAACTAATCTAACACATGTTAGAGTCATGAAACACTCTTTTTTTGGATGTGTGGATAAAATGCTTTCGTGCCCTCTCTGCTTAGGGCCATTTCTCTCCTGCCCTTTTCAAGCTAGAAAAGGGAAGAAAGAGGAAACATTAATAATTTATTGTTTAACTAGCCATAGCCTGGATTCCTCTATTTAATTTGTATGTGGTCTTTATGAACTCATCATAGAAGTAGGGCCAGATTTCAGCTCTGAGTCTTCAAAACATTAGCTCATTTACATAATTCAAAAGACTGCATGGAAATTAATCTTCTGAATGTCAAAGACTTGTACAGACGTATAGCAGAGATTATTTTTCTCCCACAAACTCTATTTCCACGTAAAATAGGGCATCAGTAAGCATCATTCACACCAAAACTTTCCATGCATCTGATGACAGCATATGTAATTTCTTCTACAATACATGAGCATGATGATTAATTAAGTCAGTGATCTATTTTTATTCTTTTCTCAGGTCACATGGAATCAAAGACAGTAATGTCTAAATAAATAGAACACTCTGAAACATCTGAATACCTACAAATCCATTATTCAAATGCCAGCTATAAAAGAAAATGTTGGACCTAGAACAACAGGTCCTTCCATTTATATTTCTATCCAGCAAATCTTCTAAAACTTTAAACATCTGATATGATTTTGCATTAATTACAACTATCTAGGTAATAGTCCTTAAAAATGCTTGAACTGGCTTATAGTTTGTGCATATTTTCCAGATGCAAATGAACAAAGCTTGATTCAGTTCTTAGATCAGTAAATATAGGACTTTTTTGTCACATCTCTTTCCAACTGGTCCAATTAATCACACTTGGTAGATGTCACCAATTATTTTAATCCTCTAGTTTACTTTTTATCTTGAATATTTTCTTTCTCAGTACCAACATTAACACAACTTTGATCTTCTATATAAAGTCCTTATTCTTCATAATCATTTTTCCTTGAGCATTTAATATACCCCACAAATGAGGTCCATGTCAGCAATGTTTCAAGGTAAGGTCTATACGATATGTTTTTATTAGGTGTGTTCATTATGTATTTTTAGTAAATCATGTATGTGGTTGATAACACAAAAGAAGCAATAAAGCCTGATAGATTGATCAAGGTCTAGGTATTGTCCTTGTTGAGTCATTGGAGGAAAGGCAGAGCTCTCTTTCAAAATAATCCTGTCTCCCTGTTTACTGCTATCACCTTTATTAAACATTTTCCTTATTTCACAATCATGCATTACAAAACCATTTTAAATAAAATATAATTTGAAAATAACTTATATGGAAAGTATAAGTTAAAAGTGTTAAAGTGTTTTAATATATGCATATAAAAGAGTACTGTTGCTATATGTCCTTATGCATTCTATATCATAGAGAAGGTGGTGCCTCTACTTTCAGTTCCTCACTTATGGGGTCCCAAAAGGTTCACTTTTCTCCATTATCTTATTTGATACCTATCTGAAGCCATTAGAGGAACTACTTAGACAATAGGATTAGAAGTGCAAGTGATATCTGTAAGAAGCTGAGTTCTATATTTCTCTGTCTCAAAAGGTAACACCACTATCTCCCACCTTCCTCAGGCTCTTAAAAACATTTATTCACAAAAATACAGCTTGAACAAAAATGAATATCATTTCTGAATCACAGGAATAGGGCCTTGGGAATAGGTCCAGCACTGGTCAAGGCAGAATCATCCCAAACTAATGCATGTCTACCATGCACTGGAAAACTTCCAAAACCTCTCTTGGATGACAAGCATCTCTTACAAGCAGATATGGAAGAATTCACCTTTTCATAACACGCCATTATGGAGAGCTAGTGCCCTCAGTTAGGTGGGTCTACACACTTAAACACACATACCTTTAATTCTATTAAACTATGAATCCTACTTTCTAAGATGACATAAGGTGATTACTGCTGTTGTTAATAATAATAATAATAACAATAACACAACAACATTATTACTATTATTATTATTTTAGTTTGTGGGTCATTGAGATGCTATGGTAATTGTTGGGCATCAAAAACTGACCAGAAAGGTTACATACATTACTAATACTCTTCTGAACTCACCTGTTTACGTTCTTCAGAGTTCAGTAGAAGGTAGCGTGGGTCAAATACTATTTTGTGTAACTCTTTTTCCCAAGTAGAAAATGCTGAGACCTAAGAAATACATGAATGTATCTGCATTAAATATCTTTACCAAAGCTTTGTAATAAAGGATTATGCCAAGTTACTAGGCAATGTTCACAATGATTTAATGTTACAAAAATGCTTTTGGAAAAAATAATATGCAATTTAGGAATAAATTTTCTGGAAGGAATAAATTGAAGAATCAGAATGAAGACAACTAAATTTGAAGTAAAAGAAATATTTAAGAAAATTGTTAACTGGCATAAGAGAAAAGGAGAAAACAAGATGGCACTTCTGCTAAGAGGTTTGCTTGAACAGGTTTAGTAAAACATGCCTGAAGTGAAAAAAAACCCTAAGAAAATGAACATATAATTAAGAAATATATTTTTCCAATTCCTTGGATAAATTTAAATTATTTTTTCATTTTCTTTTCATGTTATTTTATTTTATATTTGCCCCTCTTCAGCTCCTCCTCATATTAATGTTTTTATTTTGTTGTCTTTATTTACTTACATAGTGATCTTCTGACTACTGATTGCTACTAATATTATTACAGATTCCTTTAGTTTTGTATTTCTGTGGTAGATTGTATGTACATTTCAGACTAGATTTATTTTTATCTTGTGTCCTGTTTTCATTTTCTTTTTTTTCCCCTCCTTTTTTCCCCTGGTGCTTTAAATATAGCTAGGGCCCTAACAAATTCACTGCAAATGTGGGCTGCACAGGTTTAATTTTGCAGGTTCCTTTGCAGCCCTCCCTGCTTGCTTAATTGGTGAAGGAGCCCTGCTTGCAGTTCATCCTGCCAATCAGAACCAAGCTGCAAGTCAGGTCCCTCCACCAATCAGCAGTGGGGGGGAAGGGGGCTGTGCAGGGGAATCTGAAATATTAAAGGAGCCACACACTTCCACCGTGAATCTTTTAGGACCCTATATATACTTAATGGCACATTTCCTTTAAGTTTACATAAACTTAAAACTTTCCTTCTGCATATGTAAATTCATTTACATAATCACAGACTTCTAAAATAAAGGGGAAAATATTATTTATTTAAATAAAAATACTTTTGGGCCTGGATTTGGTACTGGAAAAGCAAAGTTGAAAGGTCAAGAACACACTGGATAGTTAATGATACCTCTGAAAGTGGCTGGGAAATGAATTGTTCCTCAGTGGGTAAGAATAATAATATGCATCTGGCCATTTCTCTGATCAGTGCCACAATATATATCAGTATTGATCACTATAGGCAAGCTATAACCATTTTGGTCATTCTGCATAAGAAACAGGAATACACATTCCCATGATAAATCAAACAGAAAAGTTCAGTTCATTTAAGCAATTCGTCTTACCACCAGTCCCACATCACAAATCAGTATGAGTCAGATTATGGCTGCCAATGCATGAGTACACAAAAGAACTGATATCTATAACCCAAGAGTCATTATACGTTATGTAGCAATCATAATGCTTCCTTCTGTGAGCTCTCCACAGATGTTACTGAGGCACTGTTCACCAAATTTTGCACCCCAGCATTCCACTGACTCCCATAAACATAATTAAATCCTAAATTACATCATTACATATTTTCTAAAAGGGGCTAAATTTGAGCTGCTAAGAACCAATGACATTTGGTAACAGTATAAAAAGTCAGCTCATTCCAAACAAGTATATACACAAACTATGGAAAAGAGAAAATTCTAATAGCCAATCCTGGTCTTGTCTTTTTAGACCATGTACTCTTTGTGAGAGTTGCAGTCTCCATCTGTTATTGAAAAGGATCAATGCTTTAAGTGTTACCACAAACTAAGTAAATATTAATAAACTGTAAATTCCAAAAAGGTTTCCTGATGTCCTCAAATATGTCTCCGTGGTTCTTCATTCTTTCAGGGAATTGTCTAAGATGGCCAAACAATACATTCTGTCTCCACTGGTGCAGAATTACCAGTATCCATCCATTGCCTTAGACTTACTTACTTTACTTCCATTAGTTCAGTTATCAATTGAGTATTTTCTTTAGCAACAAAATTCCCAGTATTAGAAACATCATTAATCCCAATAAGGCCAATGGGGCAAAAATATTAGATTTGAAAAGGTCTTCTATTTTCTGATTCACCTTTGTCCAGAAAGTTTTATGATGTGAGATCCTCAAAACATATGAGTTAAATCCCTAGTCTGCCTCTGACATATTATATATCATCACTGTTAATTAGTTCATTAAAAGAAAACTCTGGAGTAACATAAAATATTCTAATCACCTCACCTAATTACAAAGCAGAGTAAATCACTAAAAAAATTAAGTGTGTGAAGTATAATTAAAACAGAATAATTAACAATCAAACAAGAAACCTTTGATGATGCAAAGTGGGTCTAAATGAATTGGCTTTCCTGCTAGAAATCACTGGAAGCCAGGAAGTTTCAAAGTTATAAGCTGACTTATAGAATGTAAAGGGATTGGTTAATATAACAGTTATGAACAGTGCCTCTTTCTGTAACATGATAGCTGTAAATGTAAAGAATGACCCTGGGAACCTATGGACATAAAAGCACAAGTGCCTAATGTTCAAGCTAAAGAAGTCACATAATTTGAAGAGACTACTGTATTAGTGGAGATTACCCTTCCAAAACAACTGGGGATCTTGTATTGTGAGTTTTGGTCTGAAATTGGGTTGGGTATATTGTGTATCACCAGTGCCATACCAAGGGGTGGGGCTGAGTGGGGCAATAGGCCTGGCCACTGAAATGAAGGGGCACCAATAGATGCTGCCCAGCTGGGGCGGGGTGTGGGATGGAGCCATGAGGGTTTCATTGGTGGGCATGCAGGGACAGGGGGAGGGTGGCTCCCACTGCTGCATGCATTCCAGCGCAAGCATGGTGGGGGGGGGGTGTACCACTGGGATCTATGCGCAGGGTGAGGGTGGGCTGCCGCTGGGGACTTTGTCCCAACTGCAAACTTTGTTGCTATGGCACTGTGTATCACACAGCATGTGCTGACTAATAGTTAAAAGAAAATTATTTATGAAATGCCACAAAAGTAGTTGACATTCCTGCCATGTACACATCGAACAATTCCCTCCAAATTCCTTCCTCCTGGAGTGTTCACCATTGCCCTAGGATCCCAGAAGAAACTATGAGCACAGATGTTCAAGATTTTTCTCCTAAAGCAAACATGGCTTCTCCCAGAAAAAAAACCTGGGAACAACCAAGGTTAAGTCACTCCCAGGAGACTTTCTCCTGAGAGAGTGAACATCTGCAAAACATTATCTCTGGAAAGAAGCTACAGCACAGGCCTGCAGCATCCCAGTGTGCTCCCAAAGTACCTCCTTTGAATTTCATGGGGTAACATGTATGCCTGTAAATGTGCATACCTAACAGTTTGCAGGATTAGAGTGTAAAAGTCTGATGCTTACTTCTACCATGAGTTAATACTCAAATCTATCACTAAGAAAACAAGAATATACACTAAAGGCCTAATTTTGTAATCATATGGATAAAATTTTATGGACATAAATAATTGTATACAGAATCAGTTGAATAAATGCTAACACTTTTGTGTTACAGGGGTGTAGGCTGTAGGTGTGTTGGTCTAATTCATTTTTGTCTAACAACATTTTTGTGAGCAGTTGAATATAGCTGCATTAATTTTAGTATTAAAAAAAGAAAAATCAGGTCCCTTTCAAAATCAGTAAATATTCTATCATTCAAACCATGTGGTTGATTAAATAACCTGATATAACTAATTTGTTCTGTCTGTACATTAATATATACTTCATCCATATTGTCGAATGTTGATTATGCTATAATCCTACATATTTTGGTTAAAAAAGTACTCTTTGACAAATAATGTATCTTTGTCTGAAAATATATATGCCACCAAATAAACCCAAAATACAATTTCAAAATACCACTATGGCCAAAATGCTTAAGCTGTTCATTTCAAGGTTTAGTCCAGTCACATTTCTTAACAATTATTTCTGATTTGTTTTTTTCATGCCATTTCCTTTTTATATGGTAACTGTGTACATGAGAGAGAAGAGAAAAAAAACACCTCTTGATTAATATGGTAGTTAGAGCTATAGCCTGCTTGTTATATTTGTCATATTGCATATACTATTTTCAAAATTTATAAGGAATATATTAATCACCCTTATTTCTTACCCCTCTCTCCAGAAGCATATCTCGGAAATGGGTAATGCGCTCCTCTAAAGGAAGCACAATCTGATGTGCTGATGTTTTCACATTTTTCTCTTCGACTTCAACCTTCTCCTGGTCAGCATTCTGGGAATCTTCTGTTCTTTACCCATGTAAGAAAATGAAGCAGGAATAAGTCAGTACAGAAGGGTATGCTTTTCAGTCCTCCACTTTCCTTAGAAAATTTCCCCCAAAAATAGGATTTCTCTTTTATACAGTATGCAATATTGACACTAGCCAAGTCAAATCTTATATAGTTATTAAAATGGGATGGATCTTGAAGATCCTTTAGAAGAGATGATGGCAAGCATTTATGTAGAAGTATAGTATGACTAGACTATGATCAAAGACTGCAATTGAAAATTGAGACATTACACTGTGCGTCAAATGACATTGTTCTATATAATGTATCAAGGAGTGAAGATTTCAGAGTAGAAACTGGAGAAAGCCATGTTAGTGTTTTTTTCTTAAAAGCTTAAAGGTCAACAATAATCTTTCTTTTATGTTCTCAAGCATCCTATAACTTCACTCCTAGGGGAAGTAATTTGGCTTTTTATCACATATACATGACCTGCTAGTGAAGAACCTTCCTCTCTATCTGTTCAAAAAAATCTTTGCATGAACTGATAACCATTTCCAGAAAGATATCATATAGGAATAAAGAGCTGTTTCCAAATAATTAATTACCATTATGTGAGCTATTACATTTACAAGGGTCACTACCATGCATCTAACATTACTGTGTTTATTCCAGAAGAGAACATGAACAATGTACTTAAAACTTCAAACAGAGGCACATAAGGGCCATTTCCTCATCAAGTGCACTTTGGCACAGCTCAGTTAAAAGCCAGTGGAGGTACACCAATCTACATCCTACCTTCTGAGGATCTGGCCCATATATTTTTAACTAAGTCCAGAAATCAATAATTTTTCTGCAAAACAACTTTTTACTAAAATTCACTGTTTATTCATGCCCAAGTGCTTTCTTGGTAGCATAAGCCACACTGCTCTGTCTTGACATTACTTTTGTGGGGAACAGCTCCAGTAATAGATGATAGGGATGTGCGAAATTTCACCAGCTGTTTTGTTTCGAGCTTAAAACAGTGAAATCAAATTTAATGAAAGTTTTGAACTAGCCTCAAAATGAAACAAGGGCAGTCAAAACATTTAAAAAGTTTTGAAATATTTTGAGTTACAAAGCTAAAGCTGGGCTTGCTTGCAGGGAAACAGAAAGGAAGGAGAGGGAGAGGGAAGAGCGGGGAAGGACTGCTCTGATATTGACTGTGTAGCTGGCCAGTGACTGTGATCGCTCCCTGAGGTCCCTTCCAATCCCAGTGCTCTGGGGCCCCAGTGCCAGTGAGGGTGTGCCTTAACACACACACAAAATCATACATGTCATGAGTTTTGCTTGTCAGCATCTTGAGGTGCAGTTTCCCAGAAATCCCTGCACCTATCTCCTTGAAACCTTGCAGGCTTTGTGGCTTCATAAGGGTCTATCCTCCCTGCTTTTTTCATTTGAATCAGGCAGTTTCATGCTTCTCTCTTATAGCCTATGGGCAAAATGTCGAAACGCATCAAAACAGCGAAACAGTTTCAACAAAACAAAATGGAACAGTGCTTTGAAACTAAACTAGACAAAATATCAAAATGAAACAATGTCCCTTCAAAATGGTGAAATGGAAGTCGAAATGAAATGGTGCTGTTCTGCACAGCCCTAAATGAATTAGAGACTAAACTTCAGGACAACAGAAATATCAAAAGCAGGGGAGCGAGGGCTGTTTTTTTGTGATGCAGATACCTGTCTACTAGGGATCCAAGGACATTTGTTAATATAGCTCAGAGAAAGTAGGCACCTGGATTGAGGAAGTGTACACCTTAAATAAACTTGTGGTGACAATAGCAGTTGAACTCTGACAACTTGATTCACATTTAAACTGGAGGTAGGCAAACACCAGATTCCAGGATTTCAACAGCAACAACAGAGTTGGGCAAGTTCAGTTCTGGCTTGTACTCATCTCTACTATTTATCTGTACCAAGCCATCTATTCATTCAAGCCCTACTTTATTAAAGGGCAAAAGATGTGATCATACTGGCAACATTTTTCAAAGCTGGATGCTAAAAGTAAAGTACTTATTGCTACTTTTGTCATTTTAATAAAAGTGGTCCAATGTTTAGAGGTGCTGTAGGTCTCACTGAAGTTAATTAACTTTAGAAACCCAATTTAGAATTTAACCATTGAATGTAATAACATTTCTATTTCTGAAGTGCTCTAACTTGAACTATTTAAAGAGGCAAAACATTCAAATGTACTTTTCCGCTAATAAATTACATCAGTCAGTCAATAATGCAATTAGCCCTAGCATATTATGTCCCTGCAGTAATTGTATTACACTTAAATTGCACTAAATGTTGTTATATATATTATTAGTGGATTCAAAAGTATTGCACTGTCACTCTTCATATTATGCTGATGACTTTTATATTGCATTAGCAATTTTCATTTTCCCCAAATCATAATATTCTGTAATATGATCCATGAACCTTAAATTCCAATTTCTAGAATCCCCAAAGATTTTTTTTTGAAGCTGAAACTGATGAAAATACTAAATATTATTCAATCAGCTATGATCCATGAGAGATGCACTCTCATTTGGTTTGGGTAATAGAAGATGTTTCTATACATGAGTCTTTCATGTATTTTCACGCTACAAAATATAGTGAAAACAGTTCTAACAGTAAAGGAATGCAACAAAGTATTCTAATTTATAGTTGAAAGGTCACATATAGACAGATCATTTTACTTTGTACTCTATTACTATCACAATTTTGGAATTTTCATATAATTCTTTTTCTTTAGCTGTACCAACATTTACAGTTGAATACTGTAAACTTTCCATCAGGAAAAGGATCACTGGCTGCATCTACACAAGATGCTGGCTGTGCAGCAGTCTGTGACTACTGTGCAGTAATGTGGCATGGCAGAAAGCATGATGTGATGCTATTGCATAGTAGTCTCGGGGTACTGCACAGTCAGTATCATGAAAAGGCCATGCCTCGGCTGAAGGATATGAAGCCGTTCCTTCATACAGTATAATGGTAAACAAGTACTAAATGACTGAGTGAGTCTTGCGTACGTGTGATGACTGAGTAAAAATTGCATCCTAATAGGAAATTAATCTTTAGACTTCATGGCTGTGTTGGGGTGAATAATGAAATCTCTCTCCTTGGGGCTCTCCTGCCATGCCTTGAACTGATGGAAGAATAAGAAGTTAATTCCCCAGTGAGAGAGGGTGTGGTAAGTCACCCCAGAAGCAGTATAAAAGTAAATTGGTTTGTTAGTGAATTCCCCACAGCTTGTGGATAACTCTGACTGTTCTCATAGTGCACTGTCTTCCTTCACCCTCCACTGCTATGCAATTTAGTCCCCTGAGCCTGTCAGCTCACCTCTAGTCTCACTCTCTTTCCTTCCTTTGCAGGTATCATCAGATTCTTCCTCCATGGGACCTTTTCTCTGCCTGAGAATCAATCTCCCCTCTGTCTCTCTCTCTCCTCTTTGCTTTGCCAGTCGCCGTGGTTACTGTCACCCGGTAAGCCAGTCTTATCAGTGATCCATTCCAGCACTGGGTTTGCCGCTCCTGACTTTTCCCATTGACTCGCCTCACACCATGCTCCATGGGGCAAAGAAAAGCCCCCTGCCATGGACTTTAATAGCCACTGGCTCTTAATCAGGCAACATTCACCCCGGATGCGATCTCTCTTCTCAACTGTGTCTACTAAGTAATTATCCTTGCCTTGTCCCTGACACGACTCTCCCCCTCACTCACAACTTTGTAGCACCAAAGAAACAGGGCTGTTCCTTGCCCTGTTACAGACTTCTTAATCTCAAGAATGATCATAGCTCATTTTCTTTAATATACTCTTTATATCCAACACTGACCAAATACAGCAAGATGACAGCCAAGTCTCAATTCTGAGGATGACCAGTGAAAACCTATCAGACAAAAATCTCCATTTCTTCCCACCAAGGCAAACTTGACTATCTATTACAAAATGTTGATCTTAAACAAATTCTTCCTAAAGTGTCATATAATCTCGACAACGGAGCACTTAAATTTAGGGGGAAAATATAATTTTGATCTTATTAGTTACAGTTTTCAGGCCATATTTACCTTCAGATGGAGATTTTCAGCTTCCACTGAGGTTAATGGGAGCCATGTGTTATCCAAAACCTAAATAGCTCCCTTTCTGCTATCCTGTCCTTCACATGAAAGGAACCTTCAAATCATTTTAGTAAACAAATTAACTCTACTCATAATTGCACCGAGTCTTTAAGTAATTAAGATTAAGTAATTTGAAGATATTCTTTTTGCACATTTAAAATAAAGTAACATTCTGCTGCTTTTGTATATAATATAATTAGACTGTTGTTAAGTATTTTAGGTCCTATAATTAAAATGTATTCAAATGTAAATGAAAATAGAGTGGTGTGTAACTTCTTACAAAATTAGCTGTTTGAATGTAAAACCATTAGAATTTTAAACAAAGATCCAGGGCTGAAATAAAATAAGGGTTTTAATAAAAGTCTATTGCACTAAAATGGAACTCTTTCAAATTAATTCAGTAGGCCTACTTGCACAGAACCAGCAATCACCCTAAACACACCAAAAAAACCTGTAATATATAGCCAAGCCCTCAGATACCATCAAATCTGCACTGAGAACACTGGGATTACCATCTCACAAATCTGAAGAAGGCTTTCACTCAACAGGGACACTTACGGATCTATTTATCCAGAGAGATAGACTGCATGCTTGAAAGATGCACCCAGATACCATGTGAAGAATTGATACAGTACAGAAGGAAAACCCCCACAAATCAGACACCACTGGTTATGACATATCACTCCTCCCTCGAACCTATGCAGAAAATCCTCAAACAATTGCAACCCACACTAGAAAAAGACCCAATTCTTAAAGAGATTTTCCCAAAACCACCCATCCTAGTCTTCAAACAGGCACTGAACCTTGCTAACCTCATTACCATAAAGAAATTTCTGTTGGCCCAAAACACACTGAATGGATCCAGACCATGCCATGACAAGA